AAACACCCCTCCAAAATTCTCCAAATACAATGGATCTTCTAGAAAGGTAGTTTCTGACACTATAGCGCCCATCTGGCTGGAGTCCGACGCTATAACACCACCTATATTTGCCCATTTTTGCTCTATTTTTCTCTCATTTTCTCTAAATGTCCATTCCAAGTACCTGAAACCAAAAATTTTCTCCAAATGTCCATTCCAAGTACCTGAAACCAAAAACATGCAAAATACATTCCTTTAAAGTGCAATATCATAAAAAATATACATAAAATGCTTATAAAACAAGCACTAAAAATAGGTTATTTTTAGGTGGATCACCTACTTTTCAAGACAAAACTCCAATTTCATCAGAAGGAAACATTAACATTTAATGTTACTTGCTATATTTTATAACTTTTTTTATAAAATACAAGATAATCCAAATAATGCCATTTTAACTCAATTAATTTATGGATGTTTGATCCCGACACAATATGTGCATGCTTAGTGTGTGATTATTTCAATTTCAATCCCATACAACGACGCCAAAAACTTGACTCCTCTCGCCTGTATGTACTTGCACCCTTAATTCTTGACTAAGTGCTATTTAACAAATAATTCTCGTTTTCTCCACAATTCAATTTTACACCATAGGGATACTACACAAGTGCACATATCATTTCAAATAATGTAGGACTTTCTTTTAGTCCCCAAGTATCTATCCCACGGGGAAGGAAATTCTTTTTTTATCGACTTAGTAAAATTTTACTTGAACTGCAGATAAATTATCTAGGAATTAAGGTCGAAATTGTACGTATATAAAGAAGTAACTAATACCTACAAATTCTATTTCTAAACTTAAGGAAAATGTTAAAGGTTTCTAAGCTATTTTTATGTAGAAGAGTTCAAATTGTATTAAAATCCTTCTCTTTGCTATGAGATCATAATTAGTGTAAGAATCAAATGTTTATAAATTTAAAATGTAGTTTTGTGAAAAATAGGAGTATACATATTCTTTACCCTCTTTCGAGTGCATAAAGAACATTGGTTAACCTAGAGTTAAGTTTCTAAATCCTTGGTTATGCTAGGTAGGTTCTAGCCTATCACCCTAGACTACCCACGTAAGCCCTCAATTTGGGCTAACCCAACATAATCCTAGATCAAATTGGTTAAGGTTATAGTCTGTCAACCTAGAATCACTAATTTACACCCGTCAAATGTTATCTCCCTGTCTATTTGCACTCACCTCAAGATTAATTTTTCTTCATTCTAAAGGTTAGTGTGGTAATTACTAATTCAAGAAAAGCATAGCCCTCTCGTGTCATTACATTTTCACAATATGTTTTAAATTATGAATATGCCAAATTGCATGAGTAAATTAAACATAAAGTAATATACCATCACAATATTGAAATAAAAGTAATTCTAAACAATTCTAATACTACACATGATTATTTCTCATCACAAGGAGAAATATAAAGAAAACTACTCAGATTTCATGGGAAAAATACAAATACAAAAATACAACAACACATGGATTGATATTTAAAATCAGGTTTACACAATCAATTTTAATAAAACTAAAACAAAAATACAAAACACTTATCTCAAACTCCTCCCCAAGAAAATCTCTTGAAGTTTCTTTGAAGAATTTTCAACTCTCCTTACAATCTCACTCCAGCACATCTTTCTTATCCCCTTCCACTTGAAGAGACACACCCAACACACCTTCCTTTTCAAGTTAAAGATACACCCCCTTATAATAACCATTAAAATCCCCAAGAGTCGCCTCAGATGCCTCTTCAAAATCCGTCCAAATACATTTTTTTAAAAAAATTGATTATGCCTAGGCGCCCGACCGTGATGCTTAGGCACTAGTCTTCTAGAAGCATGAATTAATTGACTGGCGCCTAGGCGCTAGATCCTGACGCCATGGCGTCGGGCTCTCTATTTCCATGTAGAGGGTCTGGGCGCCAGTTTACTTTGTGCTTCTTTGCTCCATTTGACCCCGTTTTGCTCCGTTTTTATTCTTTTTTCTTAAAAACTCCATCTCTTGTGCCTGAAACCAAAAACACACAAAATACCTTCCATTAAAGTATAATATCATTAAAATGAGCATAAAATATATATAAAAGGTAGCACATTTTCAAACATATCATTGTTCCTAAGCATCATTTTAGTCATTTGTTTTTTACTTATAAAAATTGGTTGTTGAATGACATTGCATTTCATTTTTAATGGTTTTTTTCTTGCTCTATACCTTAATAACTTCAACCTTGAGTGTTTACATTTGTTCAAACTTGTTTTTATTATATAGCTCTAGTCACCATGCTTTGCATTCCTTCCAGTTTTAGCGGGCGTCTATGGTGTGTTGTAAAAATGGGATGACTCCCTTGCTCATGGATGTGGTGATCTTTTAGCCTCAAATGATGTACAAGCATCAATATGTGCTGTTAGATGTACATTTAGAAGAGAAAGTTTATCTTGAAATATAGGTACATTAGCATTTTTATAATAAAGTTGAGGCCATTACTATATTTAAAAGTCCACAAACACTTTAAAAAAGCTCTAAAAAAAGATAGCTAGATTGTTATAATCAAAATTAGTGAATATAAAATTTTCATTTTCTAAATCATGCTTTATATGTATAAATGTAGAATGGCAATGTAAACACAACCAAGAAGTTTAATTTTGATTTACATTAAAGTCATGATTTCAGGAAAAAAAAATATAATTTTTGAAATAACAACTATGAAAGAAAGGTTTAAAATTCTTCCATTGGAAGAGAATGTCAGAATATATTGTTTTTGGCAAATAACTTCATTCTAATTTTTAAGTGTATCATACGGTCATGTAATTTTTTACAATTAAGAATAACATAATAAATTAAAATAAAGTTCAAATGCATTTTAAGTCCAAAATGCAACATAACAAACATCAAAATTCATTACATATTCATACTCTAAAATAACATGCCAACTTATTACAATCTAACAAAACTAAAACCTCAGAGACCCTGCGATACAAAATCACATGTTTAGCTACACACACATTCACCTAGCCTTTGATTCCTTTGGTTTCAAAAGAAGTAAATAATAAATCATTGTGCTTTTGGATAATTAGTTATTAATTGTGTCAATATATTCCTCAAATAACATTATAATATTTGACAACTCTGTCATTAGCTCAGTAAATAATTTTCTCTCTTATGAATCTCATTTTGCACTCTAAATTAGATTAGCCACTTGGTTCACACTGTTACCCATCATGTATTCACACATAATTTTATCAACATTGGATCCCTTACTCTTTTTGTTGGGACCCTGTCTCTTAGAGAATAAGAACATATCTAATTTCAAAATTCCTAAGAAATTGTTAAGTGTTAAAAAGGAATAAAAATTGAATGTATTTTTTGTGTAAAATTTATGTTATTTTGTGTATTTATGATGTTTATTTTTTATTTTATTGAGCAAAAACTGATAGGACAGTAAGGCGAAGAGGACATGTCGAAAGTGTTGTAATGATGTTATTGTATCAGTTACTGTAGCAACACTGAGGTGCCACTGAGGAGCTGATGCAGTGCTTAGGTGCCGGACTCTAATAAAATAAGTCAGAAACACAAGAGCTTAGTGCTTTGGCCCCACTTTTTGGACTCCCAACACCTAGGGGCGACAAACTGACATTGGGTGGTTTCTCAGTGCATTAACAATTTTAAGGAGGATTAAATGCAAATTTCTATTTAAAAGAGTATTTAAGAGAGTGTGAAAATTATGTGTAGGGAGGCATTTGAAATGATTTATGTAAGGGAGAAGATTTCAAGTGAAGATCGTACCAAGTGTTTTTTTTTAACACCTTCTCTTCTTCAAGTGTTATGAATTTTATTTATTTTTACTCATGCATTGTAAATATGTTATGTAACTAAATCCCAAACTTTTTTGGGCTAATGATTATTTTATGGTTTTCATTTATTCAAAATTTATGTTAGAACTAAATGAGATATGCTGATATGTTAACTTTCTAAGCTTAATTTACTTTCAATTTGGCTAGTGGAAATGCTAAAATTCATTTTAGTCTAAAAATTTTGGAAGAAAACTAATAGAAAGACTGAGTTAACACATACTTATTTGGTATAATAAGAATATTGCTACTAAGGAAGTGCGTTCAATCAAAAAATATTAAATCGTGAGAGGTTTTGTATGGTTAGGATACTAAACTGAATATGAAAGTTTGATTTATTAAATGAAATTTGCTTTAGCTAAGTTTTTGCTATATCGTAAGAAACTATGTCATGCCAGCATGCATATACTTAAGAAAATCACTCACCTATACCTAATTAGATGAGTGCCCAACAAAAGTACACTAATGATATTGTGTGTGATGCATGTCAATTAGGATATTAAGCCATATCATCATTTCTTACTATTAAGATAGCACCACATCTAGATCCTTGAAGAATATGAAAATGGTTGGCCTATAAGTATTGTGATTTTAAAAAGAAATCATATAAATTTATTACAACATGTGATTAGTCTAGATTTACTCAAGTTTGAACTAATTATCCTCCACATCAAAGTGAATTCCTTACATGTCTCATCAACCATAAAAGCTCATATATTAATTTATACAACATGTTAAAAAAAATTGATTTAAAAAATGTTCATGTCAATAAAGAAAGATGACTCACATTCAAAAACAAATGAGATCATTCATCGAAAAAATTAATAAATATCAACTAATATAAAAAGTGATTTTTTTTATTGAAGTAATACATTTTTTTATAAATAAAAATAAATTCTATATTATTCTAAATAAATATATTATGTAGGATAAATATATAATAATATATTTATTTAGAATAATATTATTATAAAATAAATATATAATATAATTTTTTTAGAATAATTAATTTTTTACTTAATTATTTTATTTAAGTATTTTATTATGAAACCTACTAACTATGAAGCATTTTACAACCTTATCTGATATTGCTTCTTCTCTTATTATATTACTGAGAGTCCATTTGTTTTCTTCTTCTACTTGATCTCTATGCCCGTATGAGGCATTTCTACCCTACTCGCCGTTCCTTGTGCGGGGAAGAAAACCCATAGCACTTTCGCTATTTTTCTTTCAAGCTAATTACATCGCGGTGGCTCTTTCGTTGAAGACGGATTGCGTCCTCTTCAAGTAAGCTTCCTTCTTGTTTGTTTCGATTATGTCAGAGAGTGGGATTCTTTTTTTTTTTTCCCCTCCTTCTCTTCTTCGTTTTCTTGTACGCATCTTGGAAAGTGGAATATTAGTATGTGAATTTGCCTCAATTTTGTTTAGAGGATTATAACCCTAAAATTGGTGTTTCAGGTTCTTTCCTCGATTATGTGCCGAAGTTGAATTTCGATTTGTTGCTGAATTAGGTTATGGAGCGGCGTAGATTGCTTGAGGTGATGCTTTTCATATGCCTTTTTGGAGCTTGTGCGGGCAGAGGTAAGCGCCATTCATTTCTTAGGTGTTTTGTATTTGAAATAAGAAACATTGTTTATAATTTGTTTCTTTTTGTTTTTTATTTAGCAATTCGTGAGGCCGCAATTCTATGTATGGTGATATATTGCTTATTTTTTTTTCCTTCTTTTTGTGCAGAACTTAATATAAAATACAAAGATCGAAGTTCCATTTATAACAGTACTCTTGCTAAGATACTGGTGGAGTATACTGCCGCTGTGAGTTCTATTGCAAGCAATTTACAGCACCTACCATTGATATGCCAAAAATCAAATTTTTTATTCTTAGTAGAAATTCAACTTATTTGAATTTTTATGAACTCTTGTTTTTGTATGATTTATCTCTATATCTGGAGAGTTGAATTTCATTTTTTGCAGGTTTACACAGCAGATCTAACATCACTTTTTACTTGGACCTGCTCGAGGTGTACAGATATGACGGAGGTATATGCCAGTGCTTCCATTAAAGTTATTGTATTTGCATATATTTCATGTTCAGACTATTCCTTAGCATTTTTTTTTACTTGTAAATTTGTGAGTTTCTAAAGCTTATAGATCTGTTTTGACAATATTAATAGCAATATTCAGTTTCATTTTCAATATAAAGTGAAGTGAAATAATTTTTGCCTGCAAGCAGGGTTTTGAAGTAGTGGAAGTGGTTGTTGATGTCCAAAGCTGCCTTCAGGTGCTTTACTCTATCATCAGAACTTTTAAAATTTACTTTCTGCAGTGTTGTTTTTCTCGACTATGTATGATCAACCTCTATTTTTACTTTATACAAAAATGAATTGTTCTACAGGCATATGTTGGCGTTGCACAGGATCTTGACTCTGTTATTGTTGTTTTTAGAGGAACCCAAGAACACAGGTACTTAATTATCTTGTATATTTCTTTGATAACAAACTAATATAATAGTATAATGTGCTCCTATAGTTTCATTGCTAGCCTACCTACGATTCAAAGTCTATGAACAAACAATTTAGTTTAAATTGCTATCTATTTTCTGTATGTGTGCTATACTGCTATAGTTTTTAATTATTCAAAGGAATTGAAGGGCCTATTTGTGATGTTTGGCTAACGAAAATGAAAAATGTTTACTATCTGTTGAAATGTTTTGTAGACTTCATCAAAATAAATTTAATTATCATTATATTTATAATATTCATTAAGTTCTCTTAATATCAACTCATTTAGGCGATATTAGAGCACTATGATTAGTAAAGAAAATGAGCTTATGCCCAATGCAACTAAGCAATTTTCTAAACAAAGTTCTTTATTATTTAGACTTGCTTCGACTTATCTTTTTCACGAACTAATCAACTTTAACTAACGTAAGGCTCAAATTTACTTTCTTTTTGCTTAGTTTATTGCAAACCCTTTCCATTTTGTTAAAATATGTTTGCATAACTTTTATTCATCCTGTCTTTGGTGTATGGTTTTTAACTTTTTTTAATTCTCCTCTATAATTATTCACCTTTCTTATTGATTCATTTTTTACTCTTTATTTCATACTCTCAAATTACTTAAAAATAAATTTCTACTATTTTATTTGCTTTATGTTTGCAGCCCTTCATTAGTCATTTATTCATTTATTTTGTCATGCATTCATTTTAGCACTCACATTTCACACATTCAACTTAGTTGTTTTTTTTTTTAATCTCCCAACACTTAATCTCTGTGATTTTCTCTTTTCATTTTAATAATCTTTTTTATTTCTAAAAGTTATATGATTATCTATGCATCCTACATACTTGAAGTTATTGCACCAAGATATCTGTTAATCTTCTAGCAATATTGACTTCTAATTTCTTATTTTTCACCCACTAAAAGTTCATCTCTCTTTTTTTTTTTGTTAAATGAAATTGACACTTTATGGTGTTGAATGTTGGCCTTTATAAGAGAAGCATAAAACTAAGTTAAGCATTGCCAAGATAAGAAGGATTAGGTGGATGAGTGGCTTTACACTTAGAGACAAATTGCGAAATGAATATATTTGTGATAGGGTTGGTGTAGCTCCGATGACGGACACAATTAGAGAGAGTCGTCTTAGATGGTTTGATCACATTAAACGCTGACCATCTGATAATCCGATTAAAAGAGTTGAAGTTTTAGATTCAACGTATGTTAAAAAAGACAAAAGAGTTGAAGTTTTAGATTCAACGTATGTTAAAGAAAGAGGTAGAACTAGGATGACTTGGGCATATTGTATAAAAAATGATTTTAATTTATTAGAATTAAATGAAAATATGACACGAAAGAGGACGCAATGGAGAAAATGGATTAGTGTTGCTAGAACTCGTGTTCGGCTCGTTTGAAATAGCTCGTGTTTGAAATTGGCTCGTTAACAGTGTGTTCGTGTTTGACTCAATTTAAATATTCGTATTCGTGTTCGGCTCATGTTCAACTCAAAATTGACTCATTAAAATTAAATTGAAAAAAATAGATGTAGAGTATTGTATGCAAAAGAATGGATTCGAATATGGACCATGTTCAACTCAAAATTGAAAAAAAAGATGTAGAGTATTGGATTCGAATCTGGACCAAATGTATGCAAAAGAAGACACATAACCACATTACCACATGAGTTGTTACAATTTAACTTATATATAAATATATATAATATATTATCATATAAATAATTTACTAGAACAAAATGCGAAATGAATATATCCGTAATAGGGTTGGTGTAGCTTCTGTGACGGACAAAATTAGATAAAGTCATCTTTGATGGTTTGGTCACATTAAACGTCGACCATCTAATGATCCGATTAGGAGAGTAGATGTTTTAGATTCGACTTGTGTTAAGAAAGGCAGAGGTAGACATAGGAAAACTTGGGCTTATTGTATAAAAAATGATCTTAATTTACTAGAACTAAATGAAAATATGACACTAAATAGGACGTAATGGAGAAAGGATTCATGTAGCCGACCCCACGTCGTGGGATTAAGGCTTTGTTATTGTTGTTGTTGTCGTATATTATCATATAAATAATTATATAATTTTTTTTTTATTTCGAACTAAAATGAGCCAAACACGAGCTAACAAAAAGTTGTTTGTGTTTAGTTCGTTTATAATTCGAACTTTAAAAAATTATTCGTGTTCTGCTCGTTTACTAAACGAACGAGCCAAACATGAGCTGTTCGCGAGCAACGAGCTTTTTTGACAACCCTACATGTAGCCGACCTCAGTGGGATAAAGCTTTTGTTGTTGTTAAATGAAATTGACTGTAAGCATAATATAATTCTATATTTGAAGACATCGTGTCTTTCTTGAGAATAAAGATTACAGAACTGCCATACTTTTGATATAGATATTCACCACATTACCTAGTTGATAAAAAATAGTGAATTATTTTGCGGAAAGGCCACACTAAGTAGTTGCGTTGAAGGACTGTTTTTTTTGTTGATGGTGATTAGGAGGGTTTCACTAAACCAAAGTGGCATTTTAAACATATTTTCTTCATTCAGAATGCCCGTTATTTCTAGTTTTTTAAATTTGTTAGTGAATTAAATTGGTTTTATTACTGCAGTGTACAAAACTGGGTTGAAGATCTTTACTGGAAACAGCTTGATCTTAACTATCCGGACATGCCTGGTTCAATGGTTGGTATTCTTGGGATTTAATAAACCATCAATGAGTATCTGCTCACTTGAAAATATTACCTAATTATGCTATGTTATCGTAGGTGCACCATGGATTTTATTCTGCTTATCATAACACGACCATGCGTCCTGGGATTTTATACGGCCTTCAAAAAACCAGAGAGCTGTATGGGGACATGCAAATAACCGTTGTAGGGCATTCAATGGGAGGGGCTATGGCGGCCTTTTGTGCTCTTGATCTTAAAGTAACTTCACTCTTTCAAACCTAGTTTTATTTTTTGTTTCTAGCATGCATTGCCTTAACGCCATACCTTATGTTTTGCATTTCGTTTGAATAGTCAAACTATAGCCGCCACAGTATTTCATTTGAAATTAGTTATCATTTAACGCTTCATAGATTATTGGGTGGCTAGAAAATTATGAATTTTTCATGTTAGAGCTAATATATATATATATATATATATATATCAAATTATATGT